TGACCGCATTAGCGATTACCGTTTTGATCACAAGGATTCGCAAACCCCACTGGCTACCCCTCTGGAGGACTTCATGACTTGGGCAAACCTCCCAACTCCCCGCGCTGCCTGCCCTTCCTGCCAGGGCGAGAGACAAGCACCGCCATATAACTTCAGCAACTGAATGCGTCGTTAAGTCGTTACGACAACGGGTTGCGTAAGCCCCAAGGGCACTGGGCACCCATAGATAATGGAACACGGGTTGGGCAGAATACAGATTTTGGGGCAGGCACGGCACGGGTAACATGTTAACGCAATGTTGGGTCGCAGCCAATGGGGCTTAACGACGCGCTCAGCAGCTGGAGCTATATGACGTCACCTGCCTCTCACCCTGGCAGGTAGGGTGAGCACCGCGGGAATCTTATCCTTATCTCCGGTTCTCCAGACCTGCAAACTCGCCGCTGCGCTGTTCGTGACGGGCAGTGTCGGTTAGACACTTTAAGAGATATATCGCAACGGTTCTGCTTGGGCAGCTTTTGGTCTTCTTTGCTCTAGTTTTGCAGTCTTAAGTAAGTCGTCTTTTATTTACACTGCCTTTGTAATTATGAACACAAGATTAAGTCTAAGCGTTCTTCAAAGTCTCCAATCCAAACCTGAAGTGTTTGGGAATGCAAACGGGTCGGTAACGGGCGGTAACGTGAGCGGCTGATCAGACATGGGTAGTGTGGTGTGCACGGGCACAACTCACATGCAGCGGCTGGATTGGGTAAATTATGCATTGCCCGTGAAGGTCATCGTCTCCTGTTCCTCAAAACTGCGAGTAAAACCCGACGGAAGTCTGAGCTTGAATTGCAATTCACGCGCGCTGGCGCATGCGCATTCGAATCATCTCTTTTATATTTCAGTGTCGCGAGTGGAATGGAATAGCCCTGTTCATTTAACATTTTAAATGATACTTTGCGATCCACTCTAACTGCACGGGGCTCACTTAGCGCATGTCTCCCCTCTTGCGGAGGTAATGCGATCCCTCGACGCGTCTTGCCGGATATTTTTGAGACTTGGTGGCGTGGCGAGCTACCTGATCATGTCAGTGCGGCTGAAGAAGGGGTCGGAGGGCTATTATTGTCGTGGAAGACGTCCACAGTCAGAATGGTTAAATTAAACGTTGCTGACATACTGCTGGACCGCAAATCTACAACTGAACGACTATGTAGCTGGCTGTGTATCTGATGTTTTTTCGCGCAATAATACCGGCTAAGATGGAAGGAGTGTCGCACCTTGGGGCGTATTTTTAAAAGAAAATTAGGTAGGGGAAACCTCAAAATTTGCGAGTCTTATAATGGCACTGGGAAAGTGCCACTACAGCACCGTTGAGATATCATAAGGATATCATTTTGGATTAGTTTTGCGTCCAGATTACGCTGTTAAAGGGAGTGTTTCCACATTTATATGGGGGGGGGGGGGGGTTGAACTGAAACAGCCATCTTGAGGGCCTGTTCGTGCTGTTCACAATCCTGTCCTTCTTAAGACCTAAGCCACTCTAGTTTCTGAGCTACACGCCCGGAAAATGTGGACAGGTGTTTCGGGAAGAGTATTTCAAAGTCACCTTGGCATTTATGACGACATAACAAGGTCATTCAAACCCTCCCCATTCCATAAGCCAAGCGGCGATCAAGGCCAAGACAAATGTAGTTGTCGAGGCGCTCGTATCTGGCGTTCGTGAGCGCGATTTCCAGGTATAACCGTCGTTAATTGGTTCTCAATCAGCGTTATGCAAGGTGTGATGACGTTAGCAAGCCATCACGCATTGAGGAGCATATCTATTTAACAGAGAATCATGCTGTCTAGAGCAGTCTTTTCCACTTAAAAAGTATACCACAAGCTATGAGTGAGCTTGTTCCATCATATCTACTGATGACGTCAATATATTTAAACGTGAAACATTCCCTTTAACGTTTTGTTACAGCACTAAGCCTCTTCCCTGCAGTCACGACTGCCGTTGTCGTGACAACCAACGTGTGCACCTCTGCTGGTTTAAGTAGAATGACGTTTAGGATTGTTCCAACGGACAAGGGTCTGCTACCGAGAAGTGTATTACTCAAAGTTGGAACCAGTGTGTCACATATGTTATGTTATGCACCCATCCTCAAGGCCAAAGTGTGCCTCAAAAAGAGCCGCTCTGGAGAGCGCCGTAGAGAAGAAATAAAAGCCATAGCATAACGCCTCGTTGAATTTGCGGCACAATAGCTCCATGTTTGCGTAGCTTTTTGTGTAAATAGCGTATTTCAAGATTCCGTCGCATTTATCACATACACATTGTAACACATCAGTGATGCAAACACTACAGAACGCACACGCTTGAAAAAGTAAAACAACTTACATGTATTAAGCTTATAGTGGTGAGCAGGAAGTCAGTGACATCTCTCCGCTGGATAGGCTACTACTACTTCAAATTGAAATTATGCGCTATTCAGAAGGATTTCGAGAAAACTGGCGTTTGTAATCAAATTGCCCGTGTCCGATGCAGCATTCAGTGAAAAATACAAAAATGGTGGATGCTCCCTTCAAAGTGCTTTGAAAGTTACAAGGATTAAAACTTCTAGTGTTCAACCGTCTCCACCTACTGGGCATTATACGCCAATGACGTTATCGTGAATCAACCAAATACTACGCATATTTCATTCATACACACACTATTCACATTTCACTCCGCCTTTTCAGAGGCATTTCAGCAGGCTTCAGCGCAACCTCCTATAACCCGAAAGGAAACATTCTTCACTATCGGTGCGGGCTTCGAGGGGGTGGGATGGGGGGGGGGGGGGTCTATCAGTCACGTCCTATATTCCGGGATGGACGGCACAGCTTCATCCGCCATGCTAACTTGTTTTAGATAACCTTTCTGTAAACGTCTTAGGCCTGGTGTCGGGCGAATTCTATTTTGTCCAGTGCACAAAGCCGAAAATCCTATGTTACTGCACATTTCCATCATGACGACCAATAATACTAGAAAACATAACAATATTTCCATCATGACGACCATCAATACAGGGAAACATAATAACCTTTCAAAACTAGGATTTGTGTTACATTGTTTGGTAACTTGCCACGTTCAAATGGCATTGCCGTCAAATCTGCTGGCATGACTCAACGTGCGACGGAGTTGTGTCCAGAAGCATCGCATGACGCTTATCAGGGGCGGAGCTCCGCCTTGGTATCCTCGGTACGCTCATAATGAGGCTAGCCCGCCGTATTGCCCGCACTCAAAAGGAGTATTCCACATTTGTGTGAAGTGTTGAACTGGAATAGCCATCTTGAGCACCATTCGGTGCAGCTTAGAGCCCTGCCCTTTTAATATCTGAGTCCATCTAGTTTCTAAGCTACAGTTCCGCAAAGATGCGCAGACTTTTTCGTGCCGACTGTTTTAAGATCACCCATGCATCCATGACGTCATAATTATGCTATTCAAATCCTACCATTCCACTTGTCATGCAGAGCCGAAGGCCATAAAAAACATGTGTCAAGTCGTTCACATCTGGCGTTGGTGAGCACGATTTTCAGATATAACGGCCGTTAATTGACTCTCTCTCTCAATCAATGCTGTGCATGGTTAGAAAACGCAACCCAACAATGACGTATTGAGAAACATATTTACTGCAGAGAGATATTATGTTGTTTAGAGCAGCCTTTTCCGATCAAAAGTATTTCAATAATAAGTGCTCTTATCTCATAATATCGGATGATTGCTCCAGTACCTTTAAATATGGAACAATTCCATGTAAGGGGAGTCTTCCACATTTGTGTGGAGTTCTGAACTGGACAAGCCATCTTGAAGATTATTCTGTACAGTTCATAGCCCCGGCTGCAAAGGCTTGGTAGCCCTGTACAGTTCAAAATCCTCCAGTTTTTTAGCAACACGTGCGCCGAGATGCGCAGACCGTTTCGTGCAAACTGTTCCAAGGTCACCCAGGCATCCATGAAGCCATGATATCGTCATTAAGACTCTGTTATTCCGTCGTCATGCGGCGTTCAAGGTAAAAATATTATTTTCGATTCGTTCATATTTGACTGTCGTGAGCATGTTTTCCATATACAGCGGCCATCAGTTGGCTGCCAATCAATGTTGCGGAACTGATGCAAGTTTTCAACGCGAAATGCGTTTTGTGCAGTATAAACCAAGGAGCTGTACATTCTTGCTAGTTGTTATGAAATTAATATGTGTAATCCAATAACTTAAGAAAATCGATGTAACCGAATATGTGAATATGAGTAAGCACCTTAAAATCACAGATAAATATGCAAGAAAACCACGAAAAGGGTCAAAATACGAGCATCTATCGATACTTGGTTTAGCACACATTTAGCACCGGTGTGAGCAGCCTCTCGGGAGACTGAAGGACTACAAGTGAGTTTTTCCTACAAGCGTCCCATAACACAATCCAACGATCTGATATTTAGGGGTATTTTTGCTAAATAGAGAAATTTTGTTGTCTAGAACAACATTTTATATTAAAAGACCTCTACAGTTTCGAGTGAGCTTATTTCATCAAACCTGATGCTTTCTTCAAAATATTTATGTGTGGAACAGTCCGTTTATTTAAGATAAAGCTTTGTTCAGTTTCATGATTCTTGTGAAATTCCTAAGAATCGGTTGCACTAATCAGAACATGTTTTATCTTTCAAAACTAAAATAAAAAAACAAACTTGTTTTGTTTCAGTAAAATAAGAACATGCAGCTTGGTCCAAGAGTGAACCAGGTGGATCTCATGATGATAACTCGAATTTGAAATTGTGAGCCAGTTGATAGCTGCGCATAAGTGGCCACAGTTAATGCGTAAAATATCCCGAGCCAAGGCTTCATCATCCAGCGCTGGCAAAACCGCTTAGCTCATCTAGCGGCGGTACCTGCTAGCTCAGCTTGTTCACAATGCCGCTAGAGGCGCTGTCGTCACGCCGCCTGCCCGGCAGGAGGTCGTGTTTTCGGCGGCGCGCCGCGTCAGTCGACTGGCAGTCGACAGCGGGCCGCGGGCGGCGGAGAACGCGAGTGCGGAGTCGGGGGAGTGCGCGGAGCGCGATGTGGTAACCGCCTGCGCGTGGAAGAGACATCATGCGGCTGACGTTGGCCGCGATCTTGCTATGCCTGTGTGGCGGAGCGCAGACGCTGCACAAGGCGGCGCCGGCCAAATTTACGATGGAGGAGCTCCTGGAGATGACGGTCCCGCGCCGCATCTCGCAGAACATCGATGCCGACCCCTGCAAAGGAAGTAAGTGCGCTGGGAGGGTGGCAGGGGGCGGGGAGGGGGGGGGGGGCGGTGTGATGCCCGACGCCAGCGCTGCGAGCGGGCAGGATGCGTGGGCTACATGACGCCCCGACCCAGCACCGTGCGTGTTGTAGTACACCGCCGGATGGGTTGGCTGGGGGCTTCCGATTCTGTGGATACGGACCGACCCCCAATCTGATTCAGCCCAGAGGTTTTCAGATGAGCTTATGCGCCTTATGAGGTCCGAAAGGTCAAGTACGCGCTGCAGACTTCGCTGGCACGGGAGCAGGGAAATGCCCAGGCCCCGGCTCGACGCATGACGACCACCCCTCCCAAGTGGCCCGATCCGAAAGAGGCCGTGCCTGTTTGCTGAGGCAAAGTGCGCCGCTGCTGCCCGCGATGTAAACAAGCAGGACAACACCGACCCCGCCTGTGCCGTCGCTACGCTGCTGTGGCTGGAGGATGTTGGGAAAGTGTCCGTCAACAATATACCGGAATGAGTAGTATCTTTCAACGACAAGGTGATTAAGTTGCGCATGCGTCAACGAGCGACGATGTGGCCGCGGCCCCAGCTGCCATACCGTATGTCGCGCGCCCGCGTGATGTTACGCAGGGGCAATTGATACCGGAGGTTCTCTCAACCTGGGGAGGATGGCGGGAGAGGGGGGGGGGGGGGGGGGGGCGAGGGCGGCGAGAACCATTTGCAATGATTTATTACCAGTCGATGCCCATGGCGTCAATATGTGAATCATTCAGAAAATTAGAGTGGATCAGCCCCTAGCCGCTGGACCCGCCTCCGCCACCGCCCCTCCCCCTGTTCCTGTGTACCTCTTGAGGAGCGACATTTTCTGCATATGCCGGGATGAGCTGCAGTGCGTATGCGAAATATTTAGCTTCTCCCACCCTACTGCCAGCCTGATGATTTTCATCTAAATCAAGTCAAGAAGAAGAGCCTACTTGTGGGGATGCGTTTGACTAACGACCAGAGAGCTTCGTCAAGCTCGTCAACCGTTTTTTCGTAACTAACCCCTTTTACCAAATACTGTGACTCCCTTTTGTGAATTATCTTCCCTGACTTCCGTGCTCCACACGGAAAGTACAGCTAGCCCGGGAGACCCTGCGTCTTAAAGCAAAACGGTCGTCCCCAGACCATGGTGGTCTTCAGGCTATAGATGACCTTCTTCAAACTTCATAAACATTCCCGTTATATCACGCAGACACTTCCCACGCATGAGGAAGTGTTTCATCAGGCACGAGGCCAAACTCACGGACGTTTTATTCATGAATGATTGAGGAGTGCAATATGAAGGGCAAATCAAAAGGTGCAAACCTGAATGCAAAACTGCATGGCTTTACATTTTCATGTCATGAAACTTAGCCTATTTTGAATGAACAGCGATGTTTCGGGTTAGGTGGTGTTCTCAGGTCATGCGTCGAGCCTCTGAAAAAATTGAGGGTTTGCCTCAAAACCTTGATGTCATAGTCATTTGGACTGTGGCCTCTTCAAAGAAACGACCTTATAGATATTTTGCAACAACTTCCTTCACGAGTGCAACGACCCGAAGAATGATTCCAGCATTAGATCGCCATTAAATCGCCATATCGTTACTAGATCGCGAGATCTTCACTAGATCGTTATGCTAACACGGCGTGACACTTTCCGCTTAACATCGTGAGCGCGACGCTATCTGTTGTGGACAAACACCGTGCAGGGCTCCGTGACCAAAAGCGAGACGCCTCTGACGCCGTCGTTAGTGTGTGGCGTCCGGCCTGGCTTCCCCTGGGTACAAACGTGTTGCGCAAATCAACACCAACGCCCAATCCGTACGTCATCGGCGGAGACGAAACGTCAGAGGAACCGGCGTGAACGATCAGACCTGCCTGGTAAACACTGTAAACATGGTAAACACATCTGCCTGGTAAGCTGTTGCCTCTTGTAAGTGTTTTGGTGCCGGTAGGTGTGTCCTGACACCAGGCAGGCGTGTCCCGACACCGGTGTCGTGTCCTGACACCAGGTAGACGTGTCTTGACACCGGGTATGGTAGATTGGTGCCTTGCCGACTGCGGGACACGCTGTGCTCCTCCTCTGTGCCGGTCCAAGTACCGCTCCAGTGCCAACGGTGCGCATGAGGTACCGGCGCCACTGCCTGTACCGCAGAACCGAAGCACCGCGCATCCTCTCCTGGGCTAAAGACGTGTCACCAAGGTGCACCACAAAGGGGCGAGCCCCGGTCCCCGGGGCCGTAACCCGGAAGCAAGACCGGCCAGTCCACGGCTGAGACAATTACTCAGCGCCGTGGCTCGTTGACAACATGCTCTTCCGCGTGATAAGTGGCCTGGCCTGGTGGGACACGAGGACGTGCCGCCTGGTCTGAGTCGTCATTCGTCACCGAGGACGGAGCATTCATCTCGGCGACGGCTCAGCTATTCGCCTGCTCTTCGTCTTCCCCGCCGTGGTGCCGCACCCGGTTCATCCGTCTTCGTCGCAACCCGTTCCGAGTCGTTCTCCTCGGTACGCTCCTGCTATGTTCTCTTCTCGCTACCGCCCATTCACCTGTCCTTCTCTAGATACTCTCCCGTCTCATTTTCATCTCCTCGCTATTCCTCCTGACACGCCATCCCACCCCTGGTATCCTCTCGTATTGTCTGCCTTGGAATCCTCCTGGTCCCTTTTCTTAGTTATCTTCTCCCTTATCTCTGGCATCTCCCCCCTCCCCCACGCCATCACGATGCTGTGACTCTCCTGTACCACTGCGGCCACATACAGGCCATAGGCGACGATCGAGAAGCGCATGGCAACAGCACACATGACGTCACCAGAACGGCCTGCCAATTAAAACGGGCCTTTTCGGCGTTCTTCCGCGGCTGACCGTTTTTTGTTAGAGGTGCTGCTGGGCGAGCGGCTGGCCCCGATGGTCGACACTCAATCACAGCCGTGCCGCCGCTGATGGACCCATCCGGAGCAGGGGGGGGGGGGGGGGGCGGCGGAGATGCGAGGGGCTCGTGCTTGGATCTGTAGTCGCCGCTGTGCTGTGGAGGTTTGTTTTAATTTCGGTGATGGCTCGCAAAACACGCGCGGTCGGGTGGTAGGGCATGCAGTTTTGTGCGTTCCTTGATCCTTGGGCTGGTTTATGAAGTTAAGTTTATGTTTATAAGGGTGGTTTAAAGCGCACGCGTTTTCTCGTGCACCACTTGCGCAATGCCGATAGTTTCGCAATAAAACTGGTCCGAAACCAACCTCGAGGAATCAAGCATGCACCATTCGAGCACGTGCCTTTCATAGGAACAGCCCGCTAAACCCCTTTTCCCATTCATTTTCCCCAGATACCAATTCGGTCGAGACCACTCCAGCCCGCGCTGGGGCTGACCCGGCGCTCCGCTCGAGCTGACCTGTGACCCCGCGGGCGGCTTTGAACCCGCCGGCGGAGTCCAGCGTCCCGTTCTAGCCGCGCCAGACCGGCCTGTCCGCCACGCGTGTTCTGTCCAGTCTCCGGCATGTAAACACCTTTGTCGAGCGCCGCCGGGGGGCCGACCAAGCCCGGGTCTGAACTATGGTCCACTTTGGTGGGTGTTATGGACGTTTAATGACGGGCAAGCCCTCCGCTCTGCGGTGTTGTAGCCGACATTCCACAACCATATGCCTCACGCGCATTCCTATCTGGATACCGAAAATCGTGAGAACGTTGAGTGGAAAATATGCGATGGCTTTGGTCAAGACCGTTGAGGGCCTTGGTCGGGAGAAATAACGTAAGGCTGGTCACAGCAAACAGCATAAAACCCTGCGGTGACTTTGGTGATTTTGGGCATCGTTGAAACCTCACCGCCAGCTAAATCGTAAGTAATTCGCTCATACTTGAATCCAGATTGTAGGAAAGCCCTCTGGGTGTAAGGAATGACTTCAGGTATACGTACCGTGACTATAAAACGCCATTCACTGGTCTGCGTTGAGCAGGATGCAGAACGCAGATGCAGATGCAGATGCAGGTGATAAGATCGATATCATCAGTCGTCAGTTCCCTTCCATTTGCGGGAGGAGCGTTAAAATTCCAAGGGGTGATGCACTGACTGTTCAGTGTTCACACGTCATGTGTCCAAACCATGTACTGTGATAGTCGACAGCCAACCTTGTACTACCACGTGACGGGTTTCCTCTCTCCATGCCGGTCTTTTCTTTTTTGCGTTCTAAAAGTGGTTCAGGGTCGAAAACTCGTCCTTTCCGACTTCATCACCTTCTACACGTTTCAGCAGAAGGCTTAACAAAAGCGCCGCACGGTTGAAACCTCCTTCAGCATAACCTAGGTTGCCATTTCATCGACAAGTTCTTCTCGAACCTTGTGATTAAACCAGTTGCCTGAAACTAGACATTTATTATTTAAGTCGCTCGAAACGTCAAAGAAAACACCCCTAACGCCAAGTTCGTTCGAGTTTGCGGCGCCTAGCGAGTTTCCCAGAGCGGGTGACAACTTTGCCATAGACGCAGCCTCGAACTTCTGAAGCGTCGGTCGTAGCCGACCTGTAGGCGCAAGTTACCCCGGGCCCGGCAAGCGCGGATGACCTAGACTGACCTGGACCGACCTGCAGGCTTGCAAGCCTGCAGACCTCCAGGCCTCCAGACCGGCACGACTGCAGACAGCCCGTGACACACCAGGTCGAGGCCCGTGACAGACCAGGTCGAGGTCCGTGACAGACCAGGTCGAGGCCCGTGACAGACCGGGTCGAGACCCGTGACAGACCAGGTCGAGGTCCGTGACAGGCCAGGTCGAGACCCATGACAGACCGGGTGGAGGCCCGTGACAGACCGGGTCGAGGCCCGTGACAGACCGGGTCGAGGCCCGTGACAGACCGGGTCGAGGCCCGTGACAGACCGGGTCGAGGCCCGTGACAGACCAGGTCGAGGTCCGTGACAGACCAGGTCGAGGTCCGTGACAGACCAGGTCGAGGCCCGTGACAGACCGGGTCGAGGCCCGTGACAGACCGGGTTGAGACGAGAGCGGTATACACCA